CTGCGACCGCGATCTCGCCTAGAGGAAGCCACGACCACATGTCAGAGCAGGGAAGATGGCCACGGGTCACGTTCGTCACCCGATGCGGAGTTCGCGAACGGAAGCAAAAATTTGCGAACGCTGCTGTTCGCGAACCGAATTGTTCGTGAACAGAAGCGTTCGTGAACCGAGGCATTACTGTACCAGGATCTTGAAGTTCTCTTGCTAACACACTGGAAGACAGTACCATATTTTCAAATTTCAGTGCCCTCTTCAGCAACAGGGCGGTGCATTTTGCTCAAGCTGCAGCGGGCTTGGGAGATTCCCCCCTTTTTTAACACTCCATGTAACTCTTTTGTAGTAACTGTGTTGTAGGCAAAGCTCCCTGCCAGAAGAACCTGAGGTCTGCCATTCATTGTTAACATAATCGGGATGTGTATTGCTGTTCCAGATTCTTGCCGCTTTCCGGAGCTGGCTTTTGTTGGAGGTTCATTCTTTATCTTGTCAAAACTTCTTAATAGAAAAAGAGCCAAAGGTTTTTAATTTCCTCACGTTTGGGTTCTAATTCTTTTCCTCCCTGTGCCAGTCATCTTTTTTTTTTTTTTTTACATTGTTGGTTTTTCTGATGATTTTCTTGCTTCCCCTCCGTCTCAAATGTTTGATTTATGCAGATATCCATACCAGCCTGCAGAACCCCTGCAGGATATGGAGTTGCAATAAATTTCATTTATCAGTAGGGGTGAGGATAAGATGGTTTGGGCACGCGGGGTGGTATTTATGACAAATCGCGTCCCGTTGGAGAGGTCAGGCAAACGTTAGCGAGCAAATTAAAAGTGCGCTAGACCAGCCAGAGCCAGAAGCTCTTAAAGAACAAAGCCCGTGTCAAGTTTATTTGCAGAGTCGATACAGTGATTGATCAAGTGTCAGGAAGTCTTACTGCCTGTCATGGGGTGGTTTTCCTCCCCCCTTCCCTTTTGAAAGCCACGGAAGCAGAAGAAGCTGAGCAATACTTTGAAAGAGAGAGGCTGTTCACGATGAGGGTTAATGATGTGGGAGGTATAATTGCAACAGAGGCCAAACTTGAACCGTGGTGACTTGGCAGGAAGCAGACTTGTGTTTTAAGGAGGAAGGGAGGGTTGCTAGCAATCAGATGGTCTGAAGCTTCTTTCAAACTGGGCCCTGGATTATTTTTTTTGTCCCATGCAACCATATCAAGAAATCTAGTGGCCACTTTAATAGACTGACTTGATTCAACCATTGCATTAAGCCCCGGTTTGCTTAAGTATGATTTCTTGATAGGACTGATCATCAGGCTAAGCAATAAATCAAGGTTTACAAATTACAATGGCCAGTTCATATAACATGCTAGGCTAATTCAATCCAACTCACATGCTGGCTTAGTGCAATATGGGGAATCCAGTCACTGACCTACGTAAAAATGGTAAGGCAAAGTAGGGCTTGGTAACTTAGTACAAAGCCCAAACCCAGACCAGTATAGATAATTTTGGATGATGCTTTTAACCTGCTTGAGACAGGATAATTGTCTCTAATTTGTCTGCCTTCAGATCAGATCCCTGCATGGAATTAATCATCATGTAAGTAATTCAGAGTGGAGCAAAAAAAGGGTGGTTTTATAGAATGACTTCTCCCATTTGTTTCCATAATGTCAGGAAGGGAATAGTGGAATTAAAGAGCCACAGGTTCATGCTCAAATTAAAGTGACCCAAAGAAATGACACACATTTTCAGTGTGTTTACGTAACATTTTTTTTTTTTTAAATAATCCTTTTGACCATTTTTCTGTAAGTGGGCTAATAAGTAGAATGCCTCTAGGGTGCAAAACAAGAGCGCAAGGACTTTCTTCAAGTTCCCAATATTTCTTATGATGGGACATGTGAAACAAAATAGAACAAAATACCTATTTTGTCTTGTGTTGGGAACAAAGCTTTGGAACAGTGTTTTCCGACCTTGGCAACTTTCAAATAGATAGATTTGAACTCCCAGAATTCCCAGCACTGCCTACCCTGGCCGAGGAATTCTAGGTACTAAAGAGCACACATCAGGAAGTGGCCAAGATTGGGAGACATTGCTCTGAAACATGGAGTGTTTTGACCCAAGCTTCAAACGTTTGAAATGCTCATTCCAGATATTTCAAACTTGGGACATTTTGCACACCCCTTAGCATGGACCCATGTGCAACCTTAATTAAATCTTAGCTTCTTATAAGGCACCTAGAAGACCTCCTTTTAAGTAGATCAAGCATTTCTTCATGGGATCCATCTCTTGAGTTTTGGGATGCTTAAAAAAGAAAAAAAATGCAATGATTCTAATGCTATCTATATTCCTGGTTGCCTTGTCGTTATTCATGCTAGTGACAGGCCATAAAAGCTTTACGTGCTCATAAATTTCTTTAAGTGGTTTGGAGTAAACAATAGTGGATAACTGAGTTAACTTAGCCTTGGTCTTAAAAAAAAAAAGCGGTTTTTTTTAAAGACTTACCTAAGCATGAGAAAACAGCAGGCCCTTCCTTAAAATATATTAAAATATATCTCCTCCTATAAATAGGAGATCTGAATCCTGACATGATCGTGACAATATGATCAAATAGACACTTTGTCATGGTCGAACATTAGTTTCTGTCCGTTTTAAGATAATGGAAATAAAAATCTCTCTTAAACTGGAGGTAAGTGTGATCTCCAATTGTATAACATTGAAATTAATGCCTGGCTGCTGATGAGAAGTTGCTTGCTTAATTGCTGCCTTCTAAATGGAGAATATTAGAAGTCCTTTGGATGTGCAACATTTTGGACCCAGAGCCAAGAAGGTGCTCTGTAGTGGACAAGGTGTGCACCCCATACCTGTGGTGCCTCCTTAAAGAAGGGATGTGTCCTTTCCTGGGCTTACAGGGTGGCTATGCAATCCCAGGAAAACACATGCTTGAGGTAAGGAGACTCCATCAACATGCCCATGGTCTCTCAGAAGTGCCTTGTTGCAGCCTGTTGAGACCTCCTTAACTGTGTTTTCCTGGGATTGTGCAGCTACTGAGTGAATCCAGGAAAAGATGCTGCTTCTTTAAAGAGGTGCCTTTCCAGCATGGGATCCAAAGCACAGCTCATCCTTTCTCCTACCTGATTAGTGTGGTGGGATTACCAAGGAGTTTAGTTTATCTTTAAGCCAGCGTGTGCCTTCTAGGTGTACTGCATTATGGCTGGAGGTAGCGTGAACTGTACCTTAGCACATCTGGAGAACATCAGTTTGAGGAAAGCTAACTCAAGGGGTGTGAAGCCATTTGAACATTCCTTAGTACATGACAGTACTTTCCTTAAAACAACACTGTAAAGTAGGTAAGTGATGTTGCATAGATTAGCAAAAGTGGTTTGTTTAATCAAGAATACATCTTCCAATCAATCTTGAGGTTGTAATACTGCTTCCTGAACTTTCTGGTGAAAAAAATTCATTGGCTGCAGCTTCTTTAAAATTAAGTGAGTCATTTTGCGTAATGCACTACCACAATTTTGAACATGTGACCTCACTGAATGCAGCAGGCTATTCTTTGTAATGCAGATGCATAGAATTGTGATTTCAACCCTGGCCAATATGTTTTCTAGAACAGTTCAAAGAGCAGTGGTCAGTGTTTAGAATAATTCTTGGCTGTTCAGCATGATGGGCTTGTAGAACTGCAGAATCTGAATTTCTGTCCTAAATAAGCATGGGATGATGTGGACAGAATATTTGACTAGGAAGGATCTACTGTCTGTGGAGTTCTACTAATCTACAAAAATATACCCCACTTTTTTTTTCTTTTTTTCAAAGGCTATGGGCTGCCAGATGACATCGTGATAGAAAAGCAAGGGAAGGCACATGCTTTTGTTGAGTGTACCGGAAAGGATGTGAAAATCTCCAGCCTGAAGCTCATCCAACATGATGCGGTGAAAGGCATTTTGAGTGAGTTTCTTGAGCTGCCCTGCTGACTTCCCAAGTCAAATGAAGCATATACAACCAATGGATATCCCAAGATGCACTGGTGTGCCTTCTGCTGATTAACCCATGACGAAAGCTATCAGGAGAGAGTTCTGCACAAGTAGCCCGCATTGGCACCCTTGGTTGCTGACATTTCTAGTAGACTGAACCATAAACGACCCATATGTTGAGTTTGCTCCACACACAAAGGCTGTAGAAAATTTAATCAAGGGGAAGACCAACGAAATCTGATATATTGTAGAAATGCATTTGCTAGTTTTTTATCTGAGCTGGTTGTCTGAACACAGTCTTTGTTTTGTATACAGAGAAATATATTTGAGGATCACATCCTTTGGGTGACACCACCTACTGGGCTATAATGTTCAGAATTAACAGCTTCAGGGTATTCATTGTTCTAATTTTACTGTATTCTCTTTTCCTAATCCTTTCTTTCCATGTTAATAACCTATATTGATTTTATGTGTCTTGCTAGAACAGACAAACATGATGACTTTTCTTAACATTTGATGTTCAAAGTTTCTTTAAAGACTTTGTTTCCTAATGGGGACCTGCCACCTCTTCTGTCCTCTTTTCTCCCTCCCTTCCTCCCCCCTCTTGAATTTGATGATTTTTGTTAGCTGTGTCCCTCTGCCTTTTGGAGAAGGTGATAATTAACACTTCATCATTTGAGATGTGGATTTGAATAACAAATGCTCCATGGGCTAGCAAGATTATTTCAGCACCTTTTATGTGAAAATATATTCACTCACCAAAAAAAGTGGGGAGGGGGGGCTTGGGCCACTCTTGGAGAAAGTTACTAATTGCATGTCCCTAATATATTCTTTAAAAGAGTAAATTTATACACTGTGTCCTTTTCAAAAAAATAAGTGTTTAATATAAGCTTGTGCATTTTGGTGCAAGAAAATCAAAACTGGTCTAAAACTTCTTCTCTTCTCCTAGAAATGCCTCTTAATTCCCAAGGACTTCTTTTTCCATCTGCTGTGCTGTAGCTTTCTCTGTTTTGGCATCCTCTAAAGTGTTGGGCAACAAATCTCATGCTGGTTAAGAATTTGGGGAGTAGTAACCCAATAACTCAATAGGGAAAGCTTTATTTTTTTTTTATTTTTAACTGACTTGTTTAGAGTAACTGTAGCCTATTTCTACATACGAGGCTTCTAAAAGCATGTGTGTTGATTGCTACTTTTATCATCAAGGAATGATTGTACTCATTGATTTTTAATCAAAGTGTGTGTCATCAACAAAAGAGCTTGCATACCAGCTCGTGCAACTGAAAAGGCACCTGAGGCTGTGTGTTTGAGATTAATCATCAAATGATGGCTGTATTTGTGCAAATCAACCTCTGTTGACTTAAGAATGAGTTGAGATACCTGACAAAGATGTTTAGCTCAGACATTTTGGAATTCCTTGTTTATGCTCACTGGGAATTTCGGTCTTTAAGTCTTGATTGTTTGCCCACAAATTCAAGAATACAATATTTTTTGCAGGTGTTCATCAAGGAAGGACTACTCTGGAGAACTGCGTGCTGCAGTGCGAAACAACTGGAGTTGCCATCCGGACATCAGCTGAATTCTTAATGAAGAACTCTGATTTGTATGGTGCTAAGGTAGGAGCAGATACTGGCATTAATTTTTTGTCCTCTTTCCTAGAGCACCAAAGTGCTTCTATGGATCCATCACTGTTGATGACATCACTATCAAAAGAAACTGGATTGATAATGCATAAAGTGATTGAATAAAGCCAAGCTACATGGGTTGCCAATACCATTGATGGCACATTGCAGAATCTGGTAGGATTCCAGGAATGAACCCTTTGGCAACTCTGTGTATATTCGTTGAGAAGCAACTCTTGCTGTGTTCAGAAGGACCGGTTGCTAGTGAAGTAGCCATAGATTTGTACAAACTACAGCAAATAGCTGACTCTTCCACGATCACTTTGGAACTTTTTGTAGTTTTCCGTGCTTTTTGCTACATTTACTGCATCTTTCCATCCATTTTATTGATTTCATTTTTCAGTTGGAAAGCAGCTTTCATTAGAGAATTCAAAGTATTTCCAGAAATCACTCTTGTTACTGCTCAGCCCAGACCAAGTAAGCTTCTTCAGTGCCATTGCATCTGAGTTCCTATTTTCTACCTGCTTCTTAACAGTTTCTTCTCTCTAAATTTCAGGGTGCTGGGATTGAAATCTACCCAGGCAGCACGTGTACCTTAATTGGGAATGGTTTACACCATTGTAAAGAAGGAATTCTCATCAAGGTTTGTTCTAGCTTGAGAGCTGAGTACCTTAAAGAAAAGAGTCCAACTTTGGTCTAAAGAGGATGTACTACATTTGCATCTATTATTGAAAAGGATTGTTCAGCTATTCAATTTTTCCTCTTTTAACAGTTTTTCTTCTAGTAAGAAAAAGTGATGGAAAAAGAAGAGAGAACTGCAAATGGAAACGCAGCAAAGAGTCTTGTGGTTCCTTTGCAAACTAACATTGTCATGCTAACCTAAGTTTTGTGGACTAGAATCTATTCCACAAAAATTTGTGTTTCAATCATATAGTAATCCTTTTAGGTGCCCCCAGCTTTATTGTTATTTCTGCAGTGGAGTTACCCTACTGGGAATTGTTACAAATTGAAGGCTGGACTCCTTGTAAAGTTCCATGAATAAGAATTGATTGGATATTTATCGTGCAATTAAAAAGCACCCTAAATTTCTTTATCTAAAACAAGAAGAAGAGTTTCACTGGTAGGAAGATATCGTTTTCATAGGGTTATTTCCCTGTGAGAGATCAAGACTGCATTTGGTGAATCTCTCCCCTTTATTCTCACTACAGACTTGCATGGTAGGTTGGGCTGAGAGAGAGAAATGGTTCCAAGGTCACCCAGTGACCTCCATCATCAAGCTAGGATTAGGACTTGAATCTCTTCAGTCCAGGTTGGGTAAAATAAGAATTGCTTAATTATAATACTGATTAGGAAATTGGAGTAGTATGGAAGCTGATTCCATATGCTGCTTTCTGTATCTCTGGTTAACATCTGGTTGGCAGATGTTGGCAGGATGGTGAATGGTACAGCTTTTATTATTGGTTCCTTCCTCTCCATAAAGCTATTGCATGTGGGCCTTTAGCTTCCCATCAGTAAAAGCGTTGAAAAGGAGTCTTCCCAGTACTGTTGAACTGAGTAGGTCTCATGTGCTTCTCTCTTGGCTTTTAGAACTTCTTAGATGAACATTTTGATGTTCCCAAGATAACCATGGTGAATAATGTGATTCACAATAATGAAGGCTATGGTGTGGTGCTGGTGAAACCTAGAGATGCAAGTGGGATCACGCCAGAAATGGTGGCAGGTATGATTTTAAATGGCTTTGATAAGATGTTACTTACTGGCAACCCATCATCATTGCCATTAAGCTTGCAGAAAGGGCATGAAACAATGAAAGTGGCTGGCTTTACACATTGCAATGTGCCATAAACCAGCCTTTTCATACAGCAACAGCTGGATTCCCCCAATGCACTAAATCAGAACCAAACAAATTATATTATGGCCTAGCATGATATATGAATCCATTGTAGATTAAATCAAACATTACATTGCTATAAATCCTGGCTAGTCTTACCACAATGGCTGGTGTCACAGTTTGGGCTAAGCTGCATGCAGTGTGTGAACCCAGCCATTTCAGCAAAAGAGGCCAAATAACTTTTGCTTTCTGCAGTTAGTAAATGTCCTTATGTCTTATCTATCTGGTCCTATTAACAGATTGTGCATTAAAGCCCTAGGTGGAGAGATCTGAACTTGGGAGTTATCAGTAGTTAAAGCAGATCATGTTACTTGGTTACATTTATGTTGGGCCTTATGCACTGGGAACTTGAGGCACCGTACATGGAGTCTCCCAAAGTTTTATGCCATCCTGTCAAGTAACTCCATAGAATAAGTTGTGCTGAAAGAGTGACCAGCTTAAAACCATCCAGTGAGATCCATGACCAAGAGGGAACTGGAACCTGGTTCTCTTTGATCCTGGTCCACCACATTAATACTATCTTGGCCCTCTAGATTAAATGGTCTATTGACCTCTTTGGAAACAAAGCAGTATTTGGAGAGTTGTTGGATTCAATTCCTGCTTGCATTTGAATGGCTAAGACCAGTTTCAGTATAGTCCTCTTAGAACTTCCTTCATTAGCATCCATTTCATGTGTTAAATCTTTTTTATGTAACATTGCATACTAAATGGGTGCCCAAATTCTTGCTATTTTTTCTCTTTGCTTTGTACTGAGCCCAACACACATCATTTTGTATGCCACCTATGTACATTGACAGAAAAGGAGTCTATGAAAGGAGTAAATAAAAATCAGCTGTAAAATCAATTTGATGTCACTATTTCTGATTTAGAACAAATAAAAGAGAGCAAGCCTGCTGAAGGCACTACCACTGTGAACTATGAAGGTCTGCACGAATGGGCTAATAGCGAATTGGATCTTTACGGAAAAGCCAGTGACTACGATCATGGGGAAGGCAATTCTCAGATTACAGACGAGCTTTCTGCCATATCACTGAAGAAGAACCAGCTGTGCAAAAAGAGACTGAGTCAGTTGGGGGTCACAGAGACAGGAGACAACCAGATGTCTCAGGAAATGTTTGTGTCCATCATGGGCAACCAGTTCAAGCGTAATGGAAAAGGGTGTTTTGGAACCTTTGTTTATTGACTTTCTGAATTGCATTGTAAAGCCAGAGAGATAACCAACAGCCAAGCGCTGATGCCTTCCAGAACAGCTAAAACTCTCTTGACATCTGTTTTTTTTTTTTTAAATCTGGTTATATTTCTTGCTTCAGTGTGCTTCTGGTGTATCCTTTAGAGCAGTGAGTGTGTGCATCACAGCAGTGAAATCCATATATTGTTTGGAGTGAGTTTTGAAGCCATAACTTGAGAGTTGAAAGCTCTCCGGTGACTCTTCTGAAGAGAGAAGCTTCATCCTCATTTGCTTTGTATATCACTTTATTATTATACTATTTATATCTAACATAAATCAGCTCATTTTAAAAATAAAACAAAGCCCTGTACATTTAAAGGGAGACTGTTGGCAGTACCCTTCTACCTCCTGACCGCAAGTAAAATGAACATTTGTTTTTTGAGTAATGGCTGTGCGCCAGTTTCAGCTGTGTTGAGTAAACCTTTATATTTAGCATAGTTGTTCTCTTGTATTTTTCTGGGTACAGAAATAAGCGTTCAAATATTATCAGCTGCACGCTTTACTGTGTGTTGCCTATGTCTGGGGAGTACATTTATTTGGAGAAAATAATGGGATATTGTCTTCTGATCTAGCATCCAGTTCTACCTGTGACCAGAGCAGTTTGAAATATTATCCACCTCTATTGCTAAATTGAGAAGTTCATAAAGGTATGCATGAAACAAATGGTTTGTTTTGAACATGTGCTTCAAAAGTTCTGCAAAACCTTTTTGGGTAGGCTATGGTTCAGAAGAACCAAATCATGGAACATTTTGGTTGTTTGAGGTTTCAGCCACATCAGCATCTAGACGGGTCTTATGGTTGAATACAGCAAATATGATGTGCCTTGCACCTCTTCCGTGTTCTTCGTAGGCTGTCAATCTTTCCAGCATCTTCAGTTCCTCACTAATTGCCATCACCACCAATATCCCAGGCTTTTCCCCATTCCCTCAGAAACACATCCACCAAGGACATTTCTATTTTGGTCCATGCCTGGACCAAACGTGTATGTTTTGATCTGGGTATGGATGAGGAAAATGTTTTATAACAGCAGAGAATATACGTAGCTCACGCTTGAACTGTTGGGTTTTTGGAATTCTCTGAGTTTGGTTGTTTTCCTGTAGATGTCTTGTTACCAGGCTAGGTAACATCATCAGTGCATGGGAAAGTGAAGTTCGTTGGTTTACTGTATATATAATAGCTTGCTTGGCCAGTCTTGGTTGGCTGAGGCTTGCTTGATAAGGGCATTGTTTCTTCCCTGATTGTTCATCTGGTGCTGTTTCCTGCTTATCTAGGTGTTCGTTGCTAGGGAAGATGTACTCTGGACTGTCTACTCTCCAACCACCCCCCATGTATTGATGATGCTACCTAACCAGGTAACAAAATGTCTGTAGGAGAACAACCAAGCTCAGAGAACAACAAAAAAAATGTTTTGTGCATTCCTAATAGGCAGAATTTGGTATTTGGCTGGATGTGGCATTCACAGTATCGTACCTCACAGCTTATCCAATTTTTGCTTAACCATTTAATGTCGTATTGTTACTGGATGTTTGTGCCCCACTCCAGTTGATAAACTGTATATCTTGGCGGGAATAGCCCTGCCAGGTGTTAGAAGGAGCATGGCACAAGATGTGGAATATGGAAAGGTGTTACATGATCCGGCACACCCATTATTTGGTCAAGTACCCACAAAAAGATTGAAATCAAGGAGGAGCTTCTTAGATTGCGCCGAGGAGATTGCTACCACACCTCAGACAGGGCGATTAAAAAGATGGAAATCCCAAGCAAAACATCTTTGCGATTGGATAGAACTGCTTGAGGAGTTGCCTGGAGGTTCAGAGGAGGAGTGGACGGTTTGGAGATGTTTAAATAGACTGTGCACTGGTTTGA